TAAATAGTCATAATTTTTTTTTTTTACTTTTATTCAGGTTAGGGACTGATAATGTGATATTTGTGTTACTGCTACATACGTAAAAATAAATGATGCTTTAAAATATGTTGCCTTACTCTTCTTATCTTTTGTGTTATTACTTATAAGGTCATGGTACAGTATTGGACAGGTACTGCTTAACGATGTATAGAGGAATAAAAATTTTTGGAAACGCCCAGGAATATTATAGTGGAAGTCTGAGATAAGAGATCAATGTTCTTGAAATCAATACATTGTCAAGCGTTTTTGCCATATGTAGTTTCTAGAAGTGGCAATGAAGTTTCTTGACGCTTAACTTTCAATAATTGATTTATCGTAAATCCGCGCTTGATGTTTGTGGGGTAATCGGTGTCTGAGTCCAGAAAGGAAAATGTACAGAAAAGTAGAGAAAAATATGTGAAAATACTATTAAATATAATCAAAATGAAACTAATTCAACAAAACGAATTTTTGAGAAGTAATATTTCATTTGGAATATTATTTCCTAATTTATTTTTTTTTACTTATTAATTCGTTTTATATTAGTGGGTTTTCTAATAATAAATAGATCTTTAAAATAGTCAGTTTTTTGTATCAGTTGTATTTTAATTGTCATAGAACTTATAGTCCGTTATTATTTCGTCATTTATGTAGCATTCCGGGAAAATAAATAAACATCGCAAATGAATGAATATTTTAATGACATCATAGTAAATGATGAATAGGTATCAGTAAGCTCATCGTCGCACGGGTATGAAAGAAATATCGAATAAGTATTGATACTTTTGTAGAAGCATCAAACAGGTATCGATACTTTGAGCCTTGAAGGATTGCTCAACGGGCCTTCTCGCAGATCAAAATCAGCGCAATGTGACCGAGGTCAGAGGTGGAATCAAAGCCACAGACAGCATCTACGGAGTGGGAAAATTGGACTTGTGTTGGTGGGATAGGTTCGTGTCTTACTCTTGGATGTGCATATGTATTCAAGCATTCACTACTCTCATTTAGGTAGTTACATGACAAATCGGTTGCTCACGGACACGATTCAACCCACGAACATAGATTTGGCCCTCACGTGCCATTTGCTGGGCATCCCTGCTTTGGGACACTGAATGGGTATCGATACTTTTTTGATACTTCTAATTTTGACGACCTCAAGAGACAGACTAGTTCAAGAATCGAATCGCTCAAACGTTTTCGTTGGCAGCTTTGATGAGTTTCGTACAAATCTAACTCTTCAGATTCTACAATAATATAATGTTTAGCGTCAGCAACATTGTAAAAATTGGCCTCCCAAACACACTTTACATTTTGCAGTATTACATAGTTCAATAGTTAATCGTTCGATTCGGATAGAGTTCGCCAGTGCATTGGGGCATGTTTGAGGGTGTCGGTATTTCAGAACAGTAGACAGGAAAATAAATTGTATGCACAGTATATATATATATTTTAAGTCTGTGACATTTGTGTGCTGGTTTATTATATTTACGACTTGGTAAATTTCGATCATTTTGCTTGATGTCATTTTCCTATTTATCGTTCTCTAGGCGTAGAGGGCAGACCAAAACCTCTGATTTTTTACACAGTCGGTAATTCAGAACATGTGACACCGAGTCCCATAAGCTTGCAATTTGTATTCTGTACCTCGTCTGTGGTCATATTTAATTCCGAATATTTAATTTCAAAGCGAATTATTATTTGATTTTAGCGGCTCTTTTAGATAGACTGGATGGGGACACATGAATTTAAACTTTCGAAATGCGATAACATTGTAAAAGTTATCTTCGCTGGACACTCACTTTTTATGTAACAGTCTTCTGTAGTTCGGTACCGACTGTTTCAATCAAGTAGAGTTCGCTAGTGTAATATAGTATTTTTGATGATGTCGGTACTTCAGAACCGCAAGAAGAAAGTTATTTTGCATAGAACGTTTCAACAGATTTTAATACTGTATTATATATTTGTAATAAATACATATATTAAGTATATTATATTATATATCCAGTATAAGTTAAAACATTCATTATAGTTATTTATTTTATATGTTCTTTATACATAATCAATATTTTGCTATACAATTATGTTTTAAAAATATTTATTATACTTCATACTTGCTATCATCTTATACTTCATTTATTTGAAGCATTTCATGTTATGAATTTATTCTATTTTATAAAATTCATAATACAAAATATAACAAATTATTTCAAAATGACGTTATCTGTAAAATACCGATCTATGTTTACTGCTTAACGTTCATTTTTCTGGGTTTAGTAAATTTATACTGCCTTCGGTTAAAGTTGAAACACGATGGGCATGCTACATTCTAATAAATTACTTATTATTTTTAATGGCAATGTAAACTGTATAAAATTATGATTAGTTATCAACACAAATCAGAATAAAAAAGAATAAATAATTATAATAAAAAGAATTTAATATGAAAATGGGTACTGTAGTATTTAAAATGGCTGGTGATAGTTATTTAATAAAAGGTCGTTAAAAAGGGAAAAAAATGTCGAGATTCTTTCATACCCTCTGTTTACTGTTTGTAATCTAAAACCTAAAGAAACACCAACTTCATAAATTACTACATTTACAATTAATAATTTCTTTATTATATTTTTGAAATATTGTTTAAAAACGTATGTTCTTACGGTTTTGTAGTAGTT